AAACAAAAATTGATGGTAGAAAGGGAGAAATAGATAATTCCGTATTCTAGGGAATTTTAAATTACTCTTTCAGACATTGAGAGAACACTAGACAAAAAATGCAATAAAGGCACTTGACTTAATTGATATTTAACTACATTCCAAAATTGCAGGATACATTTTATTTTCAAATGTGCTTGGTATAGTCACGAAAATATGTGACATCCCAGGTCATAAAAGAAGTCCCAACAAATCTGAAAGTTTTTAAATAATAGAATGTTTTCCAACTACAATGTAATTAAATTAGAAATCCATATCAATGAGATATTTGGGGAAATCCCAAATACCTGTAAATTAACATCACACTCTTAAATAATTAGTGAATTGAAGAAATCACTGTGACTATTAGGAACTGTGTATAACTGAAAAAAATACTAAAAAATATACATAGAAGAAGGTAGGAGGGTGAATAGAGAAAGAAAAATCACAGAAAGCAAAAAATAAACAATGAAAGGGAAGGCCTAAATCTAGTCATTTTAATAACAATAAAACTTGTAGGATGCTGCTAATCCAGTATTAGTATCAAAACTTTATAAATACTTATATTAGGAAAAGGAGAAAGGTCTAAACTGAATGACCCAAGAAGCAAGAAAAAGCAGAGAAGACAATGTATTCATTTTCTGTTGTGTAACAAATTACTACAAATAGCAGCTTAGAATGGGTAAACATTATCTGCAGTTTCAAAGGGTCAGGAGGCTGGCACATTTCAGCTGGGTCTTTTGCTCACGGCCTCACAAAGCTGAAATCAAGGAATCAGCTGATTACATTCTCCTAAGATCCTACACAATCTTTTTAAGAAAACTGAGGAAAATTACCAAAAAAAACTAGTAATAATTAGAAAATGACATGAACATACAATATAAATTATTAGGAATAAATTGAATGAACAATATGCAAAAAGGAAATTAAGGAAGACCTAAAGAAATAGAAAGTTATATTAAGTTTAGGTGTTGGAAGACTCAATGTTAAGATGGCAATTCTCTTCAAGTTCACCTGTAGATTCAATGCAATCTTAATCAAAATTCTGGCAGACTTTACTTTATAGCAGAATAGGTAGGGCAGAGGGAAGAATCAGTGAAATTGAAAATATATTAATATAAAGGATTCAATCTAAATTATAGATGAAAAAGAAAAAATGAATAGAACCTTGGAAACATGTGGGACAATATCAAAAAATATAATATAATGAATTTGGGATCCTAGCAAGAAAGAAAAGAAATAATTGGAACTTGGAAAAAAGATATTTGAAGAAATTACAGGTGCAATATTCCCAAATTTGATGAAAAACATACCTTTACAGATTTGAGAAGCACAGTGAACCCCAAGCAGGATAAATTCAAAGAAAACTGTGCCTAAGAACATAATCAGACTGCTGGAAATCAAAGGTAGAGAAAATCTTGATAGTAGATAGAGAAAAATGTCACATTATTTATAGGAGAACAATTATTTGAATGAATTACAAACTTCTTTAAGAAACCAAGGACACAATAAGACAGTAGAGCACCTTTAAAATATTAAAAAAATTATAATTTTTCAAACCAGTGTTCTCTATCAGCAAAAATAGCCTTCAAAAGTGAATGCCAAATTAAAAAAAATACTGTAAGAAATTATAAAGCGCTTCAGCCTGAAGGAAGTGTTATCAGACTCTCGGATCCTCAGGAAAAATAAAGAACATTGAAATGGTAAATATCTAGGGAAAAATACAAGATTACATTTTTCTTCTTGTTTTAAATATGTATGACCACCTAAAACATACACTGTAATAATTGCTTATGTGATTTTTTAATGTACATAGATATAATACTTATGACAAGTATAAGATAAAGGATTAGAGAAGCAGGGATATAAAGATACCCACACAGTTTCAAGATTTCTACATTTTCTGTGGAAAAGTAGAATATTAATTTCAAGTAGGTCAGGAAAGTTTAAGAATGCATATTGTAATCTCTGGATTAGACTCTAAAAATAATACAATGTCATATCGCTAAAAAGACAACAAATGCATTAAAATGGAATACTAAAAAATATTGAAATAATCCAAAAGAAGGAAAGGAGAAATAGGGGAACAAAAAACAGTGACAACAAATAGGAAGCAAAAAATAAAATAAATCCAATCATGCCAATAGTTGCCTTAAGTGTAATGGCCAAACATTAAAAGAAAGAGATTATCTGAATGAGTTAAAAAGTGAGACTTAACTATATGTTGTTTACAAGAAACACACTTGAAATAAAGACACAAATAGATTGAGAGTCAATGAATGGAGGAGATACATTACTCAAACAGTAAGCATAAGAAATCTGGGGTGGTTACATTAATGCTGGATAAAATAGACTTCAAGACAGGAGATGAAGAGGGAAATTTCATAATGACAAAAGGGACAGTTTCAGGAAGACATAAGTATTCATGTGTATGTATCTAGTATCGGAGCCTCAAAATACATGAAACAAAAATTGATGGTAGAAAGGGAGAAATAGATAATTCCGTATTCTAGGGAATTTTAAATTACTCTTTCAGACATTGAGAGAACACTAGACAAAAAATGCAATAAAGGCACTTGACTTAATTGATATTTAACTACATTCCAAAATTGCAGGATACATTTTATTTTCAAATGTGCTTGGTATAGTCACCAAAATATGTGACATCCCAGGTCATAAAAGAAGTCCCAACAAATCTGAAAGTTTTTAAATAATAGAATGTTTTCCAACTACAATGTAATTAAATTAGAAATCCATATCAATGAGATATTTGGGGAAATCCCAAATACCTGTAAATTAACATCACACTCTTAAATAATTAGTGAATTGAAGAAATCACTGTGACTATTAGGAACTGTGTATAACTGAAAAAAATACTAAAAAATATACATAGAAGAAGGTAGGAGGGTGAATAGAGAAAGAAAAATCACAGAAAGCAAAAAATAAACAATGAAAGGGAAGGCCTAAATCTAGCCATTTTAATAACAATAAAACTTGTAGGATGCTGCTAATCCAGTATTAGTATCAAAACTTTATAAATACTTATATTAGGAAAAGGAGAAAGGTCTAAACTGAATGACCCAAGAAGCAAGAAAAAGCAGAGAAGACAATGTATTCATTTTCTGTTGTGTAACAAATTACTACAAATAGCAGCTTAGAATGGGTAAACATTATCTGCAGTTTCAAAGGGTCAGGAGGCTGGCACATTTCAGCTGGGTCTTTTGCTCACGGCCTCACAAAGCTGAAATCAAGGAATCAGCTGATTACATTCTCCTAAGATCCTACACAATCTTTTTAAGAAAACTGAGGAAAATTACCAAAAAAAACTAGTAATAATTAGAAAATGACATGAACATACAATATAAATTATTAGGAATAAATTGAATGAACAATATGCAAAAAGGAAATTAAGGAAGACCTAAAGAAATAGAAAGTTATATAAAGTTTAGGAGTTGGAAGACTCAATGTTAAGATGGCAATTCTCTTCAAGTTCACCTGTAGATTCAATGCAATCTTAATCAAAATTCTGGCAGACTTTTTACATAAATTTACAAGCAATGTAAAAATTTATAGGGAAAGGCAATAAAAAACAAAAAAACCCCAAAAAACAAAGTTGATGAGCTGACCCAAGACTTAATATATGCAGAGTCGGTAATCCAGAAAGTGTGGTTTGGGGCATAAGGATGGATGCATAAGATCCATGGAGCAGAATAATCCAGAAGTAGACCTACATTTTACACAGTCGATTATTGACAAGGATAGTTTTTGGTTTTTTTTATGTGAAACGGTGGTGAAGCAACTGGAAAGCTGTATGGGAAAAAAATTAACATCAATTCTCACCTGCCATATACAAAAATTAATTTGAAGTGCATCACGTATCTAAATATAAGAGTAGAAGCTATTAAATTTCTAAAAGAAAATGTAGACAAAATCTTTATGAAATTCAGTTAGGCAAATAGTTTTTAAACAGGGTGCACAAAACATGAACTATCAGATTAAAAAAATGATAATTTCTATCAAATTAAAGATGTTTGCTTTTTGAAAGTCACAGTTAAGAAAATGTAAAGGCAAATTACAAAACATGAGGAAATACGTTCTAAGCATATATTTGACAAGGAGATATAGATCTGAAACATATAAAGAACTCCAGTAATTTGATAATAAGGAGATAAACAACTCAAATTATAAAGAGGCAAATAGCGATGGTACAATTGAATATTCACAACAAAAAATAAACACTTTTCCTTGCACTATACACACACACACACACACACACACACACACACACACAAATTCACTTTACATGGCTTATGGGACTAAATGTAAAAGTGAAAACTGTAAAACTCATAGGAAAAAAATAGGAGAGAATCTTTTGACCTTGGGGTATACTTTCTTACGCAGGAAACACAAAGCATACCCACAAAAAATGTTAAAAAATCGATTAACTGGACTTTATCAAAACAAAATCTTTTGTCCTTCAAAAGACACCATTAAGAAAATGAGGGGCAAGCTGCAGACATGGAGAAGATACTTCCAACACATAAATCAAAACCAGAGCATATTTTTTAAAACTCTCACAATCATTAATAGGAAGATGAACAACCCAACAAAGAAAAGGTAAAAGGTGTGAGCAGACACATCACGAAAGAAGGTCTTACGGAGAGCCAATAAGGACTTGAGAAGAGCATCAACATCGGGGTTCATCAGGGAAATCAAAACTGCAATGAGATGCTATCCTACACTACATACTCCTTAGAATAACTGAAATTAAAGACAGAAAATGCCAAGTGTTGGCAAGGATGTGGAGTAACTAGCCATCATACATTACTTACGGGAATGTACAGGGGTCCCGCCCTTCGTAGAGTATTGCAGCCTCTTATGACGTAAACATAAATCTACTATGTGACCTAGCAGTTACATTCGTAGGTATTTACAAAGGAGCAATGGAAACATATGTACACACAAATACTTACACATGAGTTTTCATAGCAGCTTTATTTTCAATAATAACAAACAAGAATCCAAATGTTCATTAACAGGTAAATGGTTAATCAAAGGTGGTATATCCATACAATAGAATGCTACTCAGCAATGAAAAAAGGTGTTCTGTGGATTCATGAAACAATGTGAATGAATCTCAAAATATTTTTGCTTGGTGAAGAAAGAAGCTAGGCACAAAAGAGTATATACCGTATGATTCTATTTATATATAATTTTAGAAAATACACTCCACCGTGCAGTGACAGAAAGCATATCAGTGATTGCATGAAACAGGCGAAGGGAAAGAAGTATTGCTTAGGGGATGAGGAAACTTTGGTGGGTGATGGGAGATATTTGGGGTCTTGATTGTAGGGGTGGTTCCAGGGAAGTATGTATCTGTCAAAACTCATCGAATTGTACACTTTAAATATGTGCAATTTCTTGTGCATAAGGTATTCTTCAGTAAATGTGAAAATAACTAAAACGTAAAGAAAAAAATTGAAGTAACACCTTAAATCTTGATGCCTCAAATGTTACCTCTTCACCAGTTGGAAATATAATTTCCTCTTTGATCTTCTCCCAAATATCCCTTAGACTCTCCCTGACTGTTTACAGAGATTATTATTTGCCCTCATTTTGAGGACCTGGATAATGAGGACTTCTGAGAGGAAGGTCCCGCATACCGTACACGCAGAATTATTCTGTGCACTGGAGTCCCTCTGGTGTACCTACCTCCTGGCACTGCTGATTCTCTCAATCCTGGCAGCTGCTGTCCTCTCTGTTCCTGGCATGCACTCCTAGAGAGGGGCACTTGCTGTCCATGGGATGTCGCCTCCATTCTGTCTTCCTCCCTTACAGATATTCTGTCTTTTAAATCAGTAGAGAAACATCTGTGTTTTGTCACCACACTTTCAAATGGGTTTCCCACAGCTGGCACTTGGTGGCATGTCCCTCTCCCCCCATATATGACATTATTCTTCGTGGAGTTCAAAGCGCGGGACATTTGGAGCAAAATCTAAGCATAGACACAGACTATACCCGGATTCCTTGCTGTCTCTACAGGCCAGGCACACCTTTTGGATTGTATTTTGTACCTACTATACAGAAACAAGACATAAGAGTCCCACTTTCATAATAAAAATATGTATTTCCTCCTAAGAAGGAAAATGATTTTTTCCTCAGCAAATTAGCTTGCTAGTTGAATTCATTAGCCTAAGATTGAAAACCTCAAATCAGATCACACGTTGCCATATGTTGTCTAAGTGTCTGATGCCCAAGGGGAAAAGCATAAAATTTGAAATACACTTTACCGGTGTGCTTGAGTTCTTTTCAAGTTTTGCAAAGCATCACTGTGTTATTTTCTTAAAGTCATCAACAATGGCTGGTGTAAAATCAATGATGTCCACACATTGTATCCGTTGACAGACACAAGTCATCAGTGAACTCTCCGGCCTCTTTTCCTAAGGTCTGTTTGTCTCCAGCGTTGTATCAAGTTCAGTGTAACACCAGGTGACAGAGGCTGACAGTGTCAGTTACTCCTTTCCTGCCTCAGAAGAATTTATGAATAAATGCAAGTCTGTCATTTTTCCTGAAACTTAAGACATATTGGTATGCTTTAAAAATTCTTTTTCCTCCATAGTTGTCGGTCAATTGAAGGAATGACTGGAGTTTTTGAGCAAGGGGAGGGGATGTCCTCCTTCGAGCTTTCTGATGGCCTTGCTCAGGTCCTGAGGGCTCCCGGGAGACACCAAGCTTTGCCACCTTTTCCTGGCCACCTGCTGCCAGGGCAGAGGGCTGCCTTCCCGCTGTGTACTCATGTGGCATTTCCTCTGCGTGCACGAAGGGTGACGGAGTAGGTCACTGATGTCTCTTCCTCTTGTGAGGACACCCATCCTATTGGATGAGGATCTGTCCTTATAACCTCAGTTAACCTTAACTACCTCCTTAAAGGCAGTCACATTGGGGGGTTAGGATTGCAACATGAGAATTTTGAGAGACAACAGTCCGGCCCATTAAACTGACCGGATAATTAGGATGCACTCCTATTAAATAGACTGGGTTATTCCATGTTTTTTAAATTTCTTTGTATTGATCTTCAGTTCATGAAAACACAGTATACACAGAGACAGAATGAATCTATTTGGTTGTTTCCAGCTTGTATGTGTAACATATACGAGTAATGCCCTCATTAATCACACGGAAAAGGTAACAAAATGTTGAAAGCAAATCATTTATGCAGAGATAGTACATTAAAAGCTTTTGCGCACTCTCAGATCAAATGGTTGTGGTTGCACCCTTGCAATCCTCACCGGAGTGTTTCTCCCCACTCCTCTATGCCACAGATCCAGGGGCTGAAGGTCCACCTGCCCTGCCTTCACATGTTTGTCTGCTCTGAAGAAATGCAGCATTTACTCAAATGCTGCCCACTCTGTTCCTAGAAAGTGCACAGACTCGGGCACAGAGGAGGTTGAAAAACCTTTCGTGCAGCCTCATGTCCCCTAGAGCCCAGCCTCCTGGGCAGCAGAGTCCTGGAGGAAAGAAGGGTGCCTGCTTGGACAGAACAGGAAGAACAGCACAGGCCACCCCCAGGGTCTCTGGGCCCCTCTGGGTACAGAGCTAGTGGCTGAAGGTCAGTTGTATTCACGGGACATTCTCATAGTTGTCTGTAGCCTCTTCACGCGCCCTGCTTCTCCTGCCGGCCGGCTCTGCAGGGTCATCAGGATGCGCCTTCTTCAGCTCCGAATAGATGACTACAGGTTCCTGGTGGAAAAGCACAGTCCGTACCTACATACAGAGAAGGATGAGCAGAGACGAAAGCAAGCCAGAAAATGTGACCCACCTTATCCTCCTGAGGCAGCCTTGGTGACTTTGTTGCTGGATGGGAGGAAGAAAGAAAACTATTACACTGTGGGCGATGTGTCCCAACTTTGAACCTACTCACAATCCGTTTCCCACCAGTCTCTCCTGTGCTCTGACTCATCCCTTACTGCTTTCTCTGCTGAATATTTCTAAGACATGTTTGCAGACAAAGTATCCCATCTGCTTCCCATATACAAAAAAAAAGCCTCTCCCCTGCCCATCAAGTGTCCCAAATGACTCTCCTGAAACTCCTTCTTCCTCCACTGCTCACCACAACCCCAGCAAAGCGGCTGCAATACCCTCCTCCCCACCTCTAGGCCTCTGTGGCTATATTGATCTTTTGGGAGAAAGCAAAGAGGACTCCCTTCACTTTGCACAGGGAAATTGGGAGGGGCAGGAGAGGGCTGGCATGCTGAGATCACACAACACGTTCCCGGTAAGCCAAAGATTCGTGGTGGAGCATGAAGAAATTTCAGCATTTATATTTCTTCTCTCCTCTAATGGGTTCATTGGATCTCTTTCATTTATTTATTCAGCTATGAAGCATTCATTGAAAAATGACGTCTATTAGGCTTTGGTAAGCTACAATGAGGCAGAAATGACACACATTCAGTCCATATGATTAAGGAGCCTGTAATTTTGAAGGGGAGAAATGGACATAGAAACAAATGCAGCAAGTATTATGGATGCCAAGATAGAAATATACATTGAACTATACTGTGGCCACAAAGGGAATTTGTTCCTCCCAGGTTAGGCCCGAGGGCGGGCCGGTGGGAATCACTGTGAACTTCACAGTGGTGCCTCAACTGTGTCTTGACATGTGAGCAGGGGTCACCAGGTAAACTAAGGTTGGGGTAAAGACTTTTCAGGTCAAAAAGACTCATAAGCACTGAAGTATGAAACAGCCCAGTATGATCAGTGAAGTGCCAGGAGCTCAGTATGGTTAGAATAAGGACGTAAGCCAGAGCTGCCAGGAGGGGCCGAAGGGCAGAGGGAAACAAAGATCGTGTTTTAGAATCGAGTCATCCAGGTTAGTTAACCTAGACAATAATGTGATCGACTGTGCGTCTCAAAGGGATCATGCTGGAAACAGATTGTTGGAAGGCTGAAGGAGAACCAAGATTAGAAAGAAAGAGAACAGTTAAGAGAATTACAAGTATCTATACATTACATTATATAGGCTTAATTTAGTAACTACTGTTCATTGATTTATTCAAAAAATATTTGAGGAACCTATAGTTTTCCAGCATTGCACTAGATTTTATTGATACATTCGTGAAAAACTATAGTGTCTGTCCTCAAAGAGTTTGTGGGGTAATGGTGTAGACAGGTAAGAGGGAAAGGATATGATTGTATGATTAGCAGTAGAAGAGGAACAGATAATTTCTTCCATGTTGGACTCATATTTGAGATGAATCTTTGATCAAAGACTCCTCGTCGGATCTGATAACACACTGCCATCTCAGGTCTATTTATCTGTAAGATGTCTCACCTGAATTTTCTTTTGTATGCTGGACACTCCAGATGTGGGAATAAACCAGGTTGCTGTCTTCAGGATTCACTGTGAGAAAATAGATCATAGCTGGCTGTAGCAAAAATCCCACATTCTAGACTTTTCTTCCCAGCCACCCAGTTCTTTCCTTAACCCAGTGATGCCATTTTAACATTTAATGTGACTGGGCCATGGACTGTACCTCCATCTCTCCTCCCTCCTGGCTCAAACCTACAGCCCACTGGCCCCTAGGAAGTCCTCACCATTGCTGTACACTGGCTGCAGCTCCGTTAGGGCTAGTGGCTCACAGTGGGTGGGCTCTTGGGGGTCTGTGCTGGAAGGGCTGGACAAGGAGGGCTCCTGATACCCACTGGGACTGTAATTGTGATAGAGGCAGAAAGAGGCAAGAGAGAAAAATATTCGTGGATTATACAGAGTCTCAGGGAAATCAATGTCCAGGAAGAGCCTCGCATGGTTTATGTAAAAACATAATTAATGGCTCTTCACCCTAAGAGTCTGCAAGGCTTGTTTGAGAAAATGTCAGACGGGGTATGATCCAAGGTGAATCCCAGAGAAGCACTGTAGAGAAGACGTCCTGCAGCAAGGCCAGAGCAGAAAGCTACACTACCCCAAGGTCCCTTTGATAAACGCCTGTATTTGCTTAATTTTTTTTTACTATTTTCAAAATTGTAAATCCTTAAGCATTCATATGCAAAGAATTCTGAGTTCCCACAGGACTTGACCTTTGCTTTTTTTTAAAAAAAAGTCCCTTTCAACTTCCTACCTCATAACAATCACACACCTTCCCTGTAAGATACCATGAAGGTTCTTCATGAAGTATTCTCTTTTCCAATTTCATTTCCTTCTGTAGTTAATATGTGAATTAACTCAATAATCATTTCCTGAATGAATGGAGGGATGGAGGAAAGAGCAATAAAGGAAATGAATGCATTGTGGCTCTATGAATGATGTCAATAAGATATCAGTGGAGTACATTTAAAGGAGTAGATAAATTAGCATCGATAGCAAATAATTATAAGTAGGTATGAGTATTATTCACAAATATAATGGAAATGGAGTTCTTAATCATGTTCGGATTTCATAAGAATTTGAAAATGTTAATAGGAAGTTGAGTCAAACACCTTTCAATGTATATAATTCCATATTCCTATATTGTGTATATAAGTAAATCATGAAAATGTTGGCAGCCCAAGAAGCAGAGACCTCACCTAGGTGTTCCAGAAGCAGAAAGTCCTCCTGAAAAACAAAGGACCAGTGATGGTAAGTGAGCTGTGTAGATAACATGCTCTATGTCAGAATGCCCTTTCCCAGAAATCAGATTCATTCTAGATCTCAGCTATGGCAAATCTTAGAGAACATGCAGCTCCACTCCCCATGTCATGTTATAGATGAGGAAGGTGGGGTCTCAAAACATATTTGCCCAGAATCACACTTTTTCTGAATTGTTATTCAATCAGTAATAGCAACATGAACTCTAGGTAGTTGTGACCAAGTAACAACTTAATACTTAATGTTGGGCCAAGTGCTTATGAGACAGAGGCAAGGGAACTGAGACCTACAGAGGGGGTTAAAATTGATTGACAGTTCTCAAACAAGTATGGATCAATAGGACTAACACAATAAGCTCAGACCTCTCTGTATCTGTGATCCTTGCAAATCCATTTCAAGAATATTGGGTACATATTGTTTTCTCCATACCCTTTCTTTCTTTCTGTTTCACATGGTTAATTCCAACTTACCTTTCCTCCTCCAGAGCTTTCTTTGATGCTAACAAGCTTGATTAAGTGACCTATATTCATGCACATAGAACCCTGCAATATTAAAATTACTATATTGTATTGTAATTATCTATTTCTATATTTGCCTCTAACTCTCTCCTTCATGAAAGGATGTGTTGCTTGAGGATAAAAACAGACCCACAGACCAGTGGAACAGACTAGAGAGCCCAGATATAAACCCAAGCATATATGGTCAATTAATATATGAAAAAGGAGCCATGAATATACAATGGGGAAATGACAGCCTCTTCAACAGCTGGTGTTGGGAAAACTGGACAGCTACATGCAAGAGAATGAAACTGAATTATTGTCTAACTACATACACAGAAATAAACTCAAATGATTAAAGACCTGAATGTAAGACACGAAAACATAAAACTCCTAGAAGAAAACATAGGCAATAATCTTTTGAACATAAGCATGAGCAACTTTTTCCTGGACCCATGTCCTCTGGCAAAGGAAACAAAATAAAAAATGAACAAGTGGGACCACATCAAACTAAAAGCTGTATAGCAAAGGACACCACCAGCAGAACAAAAAGGCAACCTATACTATGGGAGAGTATATTTGTAAATAATTCATGTGATAAAGTGTTAACACCCAAATTTTATAAAGAACTCATATGCCTTAACACCCAAATCACAAATAGCTCAATTAAGAAATGGGCAGAGGACCTGAACAGACATTTCTCCAAAGAAAAATGCAGATGGCCAACAGGCACATGAAAAGATGCTCCACATCGCTAATCATGAGGGAAATGCAAATCAAAGCCACAATGAGAGATCACCTCACACCAGTTAGAATGGCCACTATCTAAAAGATAAGAAATGACAAGTGTTGGTGAGGATGTGGAGAAATGGGAACCTTCCTACACCGTTGATGGGAATGTTAATTGATACAACCACTATGGAAAGCAGTATGCAGATTCCTCAAAAAACTAAAAACAGAAATACCATTCAAACCGGTAATTCTAGTTCTAGGAATTTACCCAAGGAAAACAAAATCCCTGATTAGGCAAGATATATGAACCCCTATCTTTATAGCTGCATTAATATAATAGCCAAGATACAGAAGCAACCTAAGTGTCAATCAACAGATGAATGGAAAAGGAGATGGTACATATACACAATGGAATATTATTCAGTCATAATATTGAAATCCTGCCATTTGCAACAACATGGCTGGATCTAGAGGGTATTATGCTCAGTGAAACAAGCCAGGTGGAGGAAGACAAATACCATAAAAACAAAGCAAAATAGAATGTACAAAATAGCAGTAGACTCAAAGACACTGAGAAGTGACTGGTGATTCCCATGGGGGAGGACTTAAACTAGATGTGTGTGAGCATGATTCTAGCCTTTATCTCTCTCCTCAGAGCAATTACAATCCACATCAATCAAGAACAATCACAATCAGTATGTGAGTGAACTCGCTAAGTCCCAGGAATTATCTGAGATTCAGTCAATCTCTTCATCTGTTAAAGAGAAAGCAGACCCAAAGGCTGTTTATAATACAAGCTGATATTCTCTGAAGATATATGGACCAAGCACTGTACAAAGCACTTTACATAGATTATCTCATACCTTAAAGATAGATACTGTTATTATGAACATTCTATAGCTGAAGAAACTAGGGTTTGGAAAACTTAATTAACTTGCCAGACATTAAGTATTTGGCATGTTCCATTACTGGAATTTTAATGCAGGCAATTCAATTATATAGTTAATAGGTTTATTGCTCCCTTTGATAACTTGCAGGATACACTCATGCATAAGGAGCAGAACTCTTTACTTTTAGAAAAAATTGGAAAGGCTGAGAGCCCCCCTGAGAAGACTGGTTAAAAATGAGAAAGAATACTTTGATATGAGGGAAGTATGGTAGGCAAAATTTTGAGATGAAAAAGGCAGAGACCCTCTGATTGATGGACGGTTAGAATTCTTCAGTTGAGTTTTTTATTTAAAACAATATTTCCCCTAGATCTGGAGGACAGACACTTCTGGGCTCCTTGTTCTGATGAATCACATAAAATGATGGTTGTTAATCTTTCTTTCCCTTCCCTGGTGTTATTTGTTGCTATATTGACTGAGCAATCTGTTTTTTTCATATTATCAGCTTCAACACTGAGTTTCTAATGTCTGCGCTTCTAGTATGTTGCTGATTAATACATGACATCCCAGAAAGATGATATGAATGAAGTAATGTAGAAAAGATATAGAAAAGTAATTTTGAAAGTAGGAGGTATGACTCTATAAGTCACTAAGGTGTAATGGAGAGAATATGGATTCAAGGACCAGGGAGATCTCAGTTAAATCTGACTCTTAATAGATTTATGAACTTGGAAAGATTACTTAACTTTCCCAAGTCTCCAGTTCTTTATGTCCAATCAGAAAATGATACCAGATGGAAATACGGATATACAAAAAGAAATGAAGAATACAGGAAGCGGTAACTAAGTGGGTATTGCCTTGACAGCAATTCAAAAAAGGCATCCCAAGAAAAAAAAAGCTACCAAATAATATCCCTCATGAACATAGATGCTAATATTCTTCACACAGTTTTTGCAAATCAGATCCAACAATCATGACCAAGTAAGGCTGACCCCATAAATGGAAGGCTGGTTCAATATTCAAAATTCAAAATCCACATCAATAGACTAGAAAAGAAAATCAGATGATCATCTCAATTATGTAGAAAAAAAATGTGACAAGCATTTTTTCCTATAAAAACTCTCAGCAAATTACAAATAGTAGAGGCTTCCTCAGCCTAATAAAGAGCATCTACAAAAAATCCGCAGCTAATATTATACTTACTGGTGTAAGTATAATAAGTACTTTCCCTCTAAGATCAAGAATAAGACAACGTCTGCTCTCATTGTTATTCAATATTGTACAAGAAGTTCTAGCCAATGCATTAAGGCAAGAAAAAACAAAACAAAATAAAACAAAAGGACCCAGACTGGCCAGGAGGCAGAAAAACTATATTCATAGATGACATGATCACCTATGAGACAGTCTGATGAAATCAGACAGATATCAAAACTACTAAATGTGTTTAGCAAAGTTGCAGGATGTAAGATCAATATATGAAAATCAACTTTATTTCTATATACCAGCAACAACCAGAAATTGAAATTTTTATTTCATTCTCAGCATTCTCTATTAATTTTATACAAGTTTCACTATATTTAACTGATATTCAAATACATCTCGGAGTCTATGGTTTGCCCCCGTGACTATTATCTTTTTGTTTTACAAATAGAGGACTTTATTTTTTATTTTTTTTGTTTTCAGTAAGCTTTCTACTAGGGGTAGAGTAGTCAATACTTACATTTCTAATTTTTAATTAGAACCAAAACTTTGCTACCTGATTTAAATCTCCAATTAGATACACGGAGTCATAACTTCGTTAAGAAATTTATTCTATCTTAATGTCACTATTGCCTACAGAGTGGTAGTGAGTAGAAGTGAGGGCCTAGCACTTGGAAAGGAATAATTAACCTTTATGGGATGTACCACACAACTCTAAATTATTACAGCAGTGGCAAAATGGGCCTAGCACTTGGAAAGGAATAATTAACCTTTATGGGATGTACCACACAACTCTAAATTATTACAGCAGTGGCAAAAGTTGCATCATCGGCAGGTAAGATGTGGACACCCACCTGATTTCCTCTGGGTCCTGAAGTGACCCACCAGAACAACAGCAGCTGCAAGGCCAAGGATGCTTAGCAGCCACCCAGTGAACCTCACAGGGATAAGGACTCCTTTGTTCCTGGAAGGCCCTAAGTGGAGAGACATGTACTTGAGTTCCACTGGCAAATATTTTTGATCTAAACGAAAACTATATAGGTGGAGGTTAGAGATATATCAGGACAGGTTGTTGCCAGGCTCTGATTTCTTCATTTGAATTATCTCCAGTATAATTAGTAATTTTCAAAGTAATGGCACATGGAGAGTGATTGCCAGCATCTAAGATTAAAATATATTCCCTTTCCCTCTACCCCATGAACGCAATCTCTAGAAGCCCCAAACCTTGGGGTGCATGCTCAAAAACTCTTTGATATTGGTAAATTTGCACAATCTGTTGGATAAATATTTTATTGGCCGTAACTGTAACCACTGACCCAGATAACGCCAACCTACCTGTGAAGTTGAGTGTCACCACCTCACTGCGCTGGGCCCCCAGGCCGTTGTCAGCTGTGCAGGAGTAGTTCCCAGAATGCTCTTCCATCAGAGAAAGGTTGAAAGATGCTCCTCCTCCAGAGGGGGCTGAGCTGTTCCCCAGGGTGGCATCCTCATGAAAAAACCAGTAGAGGATCGGGGGAGAGCCTCTCTGGGCCTCACAGTGGAGCTCCAGTGTGCCACTCACCATATCCTGGGCCCCAACAGGGTTGAGGGTGAGGATAGGGCGAGACACTGGGACTACGGGAGGAAACAGAGCAGTTTTGATAAGTATGTATATAAGATAACTTCTAAAGGCAGTATCTGGCACAGTTTAGCAGTAGGAACATAGACCTGGGATTCAGGAAAACCTGACTTTGAATTCTGTATCTGTCCTTGGTTTTCAGCTTTGTGATCTTGATGTTTCAAAACTTTTTAGTCCCTCTGAGTCTCAGTTTATTCCTTTGTAAACTGGAGCTAATGATAATTATATCCCAAGCGATGGTAATAAGAATTGGGTACATAAAGTACTTGATCAATGTTAATTATTAATATTGATAGAAAAATTAACTAAAAGCAAGGTTCATTTCTCAATATTACTGACTCCTGGATCTTAGCTTTAAACCTAGATTTCCACACCTATCTCATGTAGGGCCTCATCACTCATTACCCTAAAACCTTGCTTTATTTTTCTACACAGCATTTAACACTATCTATCTATCTATCTATCTATCTATCTATCTATCTATCTATCTATCTATCTGTCTGTCTATCATCTATTTATCTATCTTTCTTTGTCAAATATCTGATTCCCCCAATAGAGTGTAAATTTCTTAAGAACGAGGACTTATCATTTGCTCATTGCTGTATTTCTGGCTGCTGGAACTTTCCCTGACATGTAATAATAATTGACAAGTGAATGGATGACTGTGTTGATCCAGATTAGCACAAAAATACACAGATCCAGCCATAGTAACAATGATTTCCATTTAACTGTGGAAACAAGACAGCCAGGAAGAACAGAAAATCATTATGTTTTTACTAGCATATGGAATTATTGATGATTAATGTGGAATGTGAACTGAAACCTGGATGAATCGATCTTGGTGTTTTAGATATAAGTTGGGTGTTTCATTAGTAAGAGAAGGTTGGTAAGGATCTTAAGCTCTGCTTTACATCAGAAATTGCCTAAAGCAGAGGGAGTTTGGGGATCATTTGTTGAATGAGAATGATCCAACTTGAACATGAGCCATCTGCTGGCAGCAGGACAGGTAGCACCGGCTGCCCCATCGGGGTAGAAGTGACAAGTCCCGCCAAGATGGCTTCAGTTTGACCCTTCTGTACATCCTTTGCAATATAAAGTGACCTGGGCCCGTTGCTAAGGGCCTCGGGGACAAGTCTTTACATATACTTCATGCATCCCAGTGTGCCTTTCACTCATGCCACGACCTCGTATTTCTTTCTTTTTGCAAATTTTTTGGAAATAAAATATACGTAACATAAAATTACCATCACAACCATTTTTAAGTGTACAGTCAGTGATATTAAATACATTCATAATGTTGTGCAACTGTCACCAGCATTCATCTCCATAGCTTTACATCTTGTAAAACTGAAACCCTGTACCCATTAAACAATAACTCCCTTATTTCCCAACTTCTCAGCCCCTTGCAACGACCATTCTTTCTGTCTCTGGTTTTGTCTATTCTAGGTACTTCAGATAAGTGGAATCTTACTTTATTTATCTTTTTGTGCCTGGCTCATTTCACTTAGCATAATGGCCTCTAGACTCATCCATGGGGTAGCATATATCAGAATTTTCAAAGTCTGAATATCCCATTGTATGTATACCACATTTTGCTTATACATTTACTACCAATGGACACTTGGGTTGCTTCCATGTTGTCGTATATGAATAATGCTGCTATGTACATGGGTGTACAAATATCTCTTCAGAACCTGCTGTCAACTTTTAGGGGTGTGTACCCAGAAGTGGAATTTCTGGGTTATATTGTAGTTCTATTTTTTAATTTTGGGGGGACTATCAAGACTGCTCCCCATAACGGCTAGACCATTTTACATTCCTACCAATAATAAACAGGGGTTCCAATTTCTCACTGACACTTGTTAAATTTTTTTTGTAATAGCCATCCTAGTGGGTGTGAGGTGGTATTTCATTGCAGCTTTGATTTACATTTTCTTAATAATCAGTGGTAGTGAGCATATTTTCATGTACTTTTGGCCACTTAATATATTCTTTGGAGAAATGTCTATTTAAATCCTTTACCTATTTTTTAATTGGATTGTTTGTTTCTATGTTGTTGAGTTTTAGGAGTTCTTGATAAATTCTGGGTATTAATCCCTTATCACATATATGATCTACAAATATTTTTTCCCATTCTGTAGGGTACCTTTATATCCTGTTGATATTGCCTTTTGATGCACACTGTTTTAATTTTCACCAATTCTAATTTATCTATTTTTTTTTCTATTTTGCCTATACTTTTGATGTATATCAAAAAAAACCATGGCCAAATCCAATGTCATGAAGATTTTGCCCTCTATTTTCTTCTAAGAATTTTACAGTTTTAGGTCTTATATTTAAGTTTTTGACTTACATAGTGTTAAGTAAGGATCCAACTGCATTCTTTTGCTTGTGGAGATCCAGTTTTCCCAGCAACATTTGTTGAAAAGACTGTCTTTTCCCCACTGAACGGTCTCGATACACTGCTCAAAAAGTCACCTGACCGCATAGGTGATGGCGTATTTCTGGATGGTCTATTATATTCCATTGGTATGTGTGTCTGTTCTAGTCCCTAATGTCTGACTCCCCAAAGAAGAAAAATAAAGAAAATGATGGGAGAAAGAGGGTGCTGGCTCTTTTAATCCCTGGACATCACTTTAGCTAGAGGGGGAGAAGCTTGAAATATTGGAAAGAAATGAGACAACAGTTAGGTACCTGCCTCTTTGTACTTCTGTGATCAGAAGCAGCAATTACGGAGATCTCCAATCTGAGCACAGATCTCCAATATCTGAAGGGCAAGGTCCTTCTTGCTCACCCCAGCTCCCCAGCTCCCCACAAGCTGTGTGCACACTGCTCCAAGAACACCTGCACAGCTCCCAGCCATGTGGCTGAGGGTGGGAGTTGGGTAGGTGCTGCTGTGCGAAGAGCTGAAATGTACTGAACTTAACTGCAATTTGCCCAAGCCTTCCCCTTGGAGTTGCAAGCCTTCAGTAGACTCCAGATACCGAAATACTTGCATCAGACAGATTCTGCAATTATTGTCTACATTGAAAGACGGTTTCCTGATGCTTCCTCCCCTGCAGTCTTCCCAGAATCCTCCTTGCCTTCTTTTTCTCCAGGCTTCTGTATACTGGGAGCAGCGATTCTCAGATTCTCCCATTACATTTCTTCCTCCAGGGTTCGCCAAACATTTGGCTCCACATGGCTATTCCCACAAAATCAGAGAAGGTTAGGGCTAAGACCATGGTTAGGATGAAATTCAGTGGTTTCTCAGGTGGGATACAGGACAACCCAGAGCGGTGTGAGAAGAAAAAATAGGAGAATGTTTAAGAGGATTTAGTTTTTAACTTGAAAGTAAAAAAGAAATGCAACTTTACTAACAGTCACATTGGCACGCTTACTGAGGTCATATGTCACTCTCTGTGTTGAGATCTGTAAGGGATTCCCGGGAAGGCACAGGGGTCCCCACATAGCCGTGCCTTCCGTGGCTTGTCCCCTCTCAGCATATGGGAACATATTGCCTTTTATTTGGCTACTTCAGTATTGTTACTTAAATAAAAGAACTTCACTTTCTTAAATAATATAATCCTTAAAATCCTTTCTAAGGATATTGAGTTAATTGAAGATTACTCATGTGTTTTTCTATGAAGAAAGATCACTACTTCACTTTTGGTGGGTTTTTTTTCATGTGACTATCAGTAGTATAGTAATTAGACACCAACAAAAAGACTTTTAAACAGTACTCACTCACAGTACTAATGCTTTCTAAATAAACTCAAGCTATCAAGATAATATTTTGCAAAATGGTTGTTTAAAAATACTTACATGTCTACATAGTTTTATTACCAGAAAATGCCAATATGTCAACTCTAAAAATTCGTATCTGCCCATTTAAAAATCCAGAGAAACGGAATGTAGCAGCCAGTCAATACTTGTTCTAGAGCTTGAACTCATTTGTAATACATTCAAATACACAATACTTCCTGCTTATTTTATAAGAACAACTTATCAACATCAGGAAACAGCTGAATTTCAATGAAAATCTTTGCATAGTTGGTGTATAGGATGGAAAAATGGGTATCATTGATGCTTTGCTTCCATCTGGATCTGGGTATCTTGGCAAGACACAAAATAATAACTAGTACAGGTGATGAAAGCCACTGTAACCAATTGATCCCCTACCACTTTATATCAAAACTGTTGAACATGCCCCCCAAATATTTATTAACTATTTATATGCACTACTTTACTAACTTAATATACACACTATAAAACCTCCATGATTTTTGTGCCTGCATGATTTACTTGGGTCAATTACTTTATGAAGAGAATGAGGACAAGACTAGGAAAGAAACTGGCTCAAGTTCATACAAATACTCTCTTGCTCAAAACGGAATCGCCGTTTCAGTGAACTATCCGGTCCTCCCAGGTCCTAATGCCTACATCATAACTCAGTTTGGCCCATAGAAAGATCATTATTAACCAAAATGTGGTAAGTATTTCAATAGTTTGGAATAGTCAGAGAAGAAAAAGCCATGGCAAAACCCAGATAATGTAAGGGTTTGAATCACTTGGAGGCATTACCGTATCTGTTTTTGTCCGGCTATCTTTTCCTGTGTCCTTGTGCCCCATACTGCTCTCCAAATGCCGGACACTTTGGAATGATCGTGGATGGGCATGTAACTAATTGCTAGCATGGGCTGGAAGTGGGAAATACAAGATGCCTTGGTGCCCCTCGTGAAGAAAAATTTTGTCTGGTGCTACTGAGAACATCAGATTAAACTATATCCTAGCATGCAAAGAGTCAGAAGGTATTTAGACAAAAGTGAGAAGGCCAGAGAGGTGGTTAGAATCTGAGGGTCAGGAGAAAACTCTGCTGTTCTAATGGCTGGGGGTGTCCACACAGAGAAACATTTAATCTTTTAATCCAGAGAACTGAGTAGTGATTTAGATTGGATAGGAGTAGGGGCAGAGAACTTTGGCAAGGAATGGTCTTATCATTTGTTCTTGGACAAAGGAATTCAGAAATAAAGTTTTCTAAAAGCTTCTCCTTTGTCAGAAGTTGCTGAACCATCACTTACCTGGTACTATGGAAAGTCTTTCTGTGTCTATGGGAAGACTGAATGGAATATATGGCTGTTGATGACAATGACAGTAAAAATAAAGGAGTGTAGAATAAAGCAAGGGGGATTATGCTCCCCAACTTCAAGCTCTACTACAAAGCCACAGTAATCAAGGCAATTTGGTACTGGCACAAGAACAGACCCACAGACCACTGGAACACTAGAGAGCCCAGATATAAACCCAAGCATATATGATCAATTAACATACAATAAAGGGGCCATGGATATACAATGGGAAAATGACAGCCTCTTCAACAACTGGTGTTGGCAAAACTGGACAGCTACATGCAAGAAAATGAAACTGGAGTATTGTTTAACCCCATACACAAAAGTAAACTCAAAATGGATCAAAGACCTGAATGAAAATCATGAAACCATAAAACTCTTAGAAGAAAACATAGGCAAAAATCTCTTGAATATAAACATGAGCAGCTTTTCCTGAATGCATCTCCTCGGGTAAGGGAAACAAAATAAAAAATGAACAAATGGGACTACGTCATGCTAAAGCTTCTGTATAGCAAAGGACACCATCAGCAGAACAGAAAGGCATCCTATAGTATGGGAGAATATATTCATAAATGACAGATCCAATAAGGGGGTAACATCCAAAATATATAAAGAACTCACATGCCTCAACACCCAAAAAGCAACTAACCCTATTAAAAAATGGGCAGAAGATCTGAAGAGACACTTCTCCAAAGAAGAAATTCAGATGGCCAACAGGCACATGAGAAGATGCCCCACATCACTAGTTATCAGAGAAATGCAAATTAAAACCACAATGAGATATCACCTCACACCAGTAAGGATGGCCAACATAGAAAAGATTAGGAACAGCAAATGCTGGCAAGGATGCAGAGAATGGGGAACCCTCCTACACTGCTGGTGGGAATGTAAACTAGTTCAACCATTGTGGAAAGCAGTATGGAGGTTCCTCAAAAAACTAAAAATACAAATATCATTTGACCCAGGAATTCCACTCCTAGGAATTTATTCTAAGAATGCAGGATCCCAGTTTCAAAAAGACATATGTACCCCTATGTTTATCACAGCACTTTTTACAATAGCTAAGAAATGAAAGCAACCTAAGTGATGAATGGATAAAGAAGAGGTGGTACATATACACAATGGAATCTTATTCATCCATACGAAGAAAACAAATCCTACCATTTGAACAACATGGATGGAGCTAGAGGGTATTATGCTCAGTGAAATAAGCCAGGTGTAGAAAGACAAGTACCAAATGATTTCACTCATCTGTGGAGTATAAGAACAAAGAAAACCTGAAGGAACAAAAACAGCAGCAGAATCACAGAACCCAAGAATGGACTAACAGTTGCCAAAGGGAAAGGGACTAGGCAGGGTGGGTGGGAAGGGAGGGATAAGGGAAATAAGGGGCATTACGGTTAGCACACATAATGTAGGGGGGGCACAGGAAAGCAGTATAGCACAGAGAAGACAAGTAGTGACTCTACAGCATCTTACTATGCTGATGACAGTGACTGTAACGGGGTATGTGCGGGGGACTTGATAATGGGGGGAATCTAGTAACCACAATGTTGCTCATGTGATTGTATATTAATGATAACAAAATTTAAAATTTATTTAATGAAAAAAAATAAATAAAGGAGTGATCCAAGTTACTGATTGTAGAGTCACAAGAACTAAGTCATCCAGAACTCCCAGTTGGAGGCAGATACAGTGGGGAGCATGCTGGGATGTCACACCAGCAAACAGCCTAGAGGAGCTGTTTGTGAGAAAGCAGCCTGTTCTTAGCTGTTACTGCTCTGGGCATATCCTGCTTACCGGTAACCTTAAGAGTCACGCTGTCACTGCGCTGGGCCCCCAGGCTATTGTCGGCCTCGCAGGAGTAGTTTCCAGAATGTTCTGCAGTCAGAGAGAGGTTGAAGGATGCTCCTCCTCCGAATGGGGCTGAGCTGTTCCCCAGGGCGACATCCTCATGATAAAACCAGTACAGGATCGGGGGAGAGCCTCTCTGGGCCTCACAGTGGAGCTCCATCACGTCCCCCACCACAGCCTGGGCCCTGGGGACCCTGAGGATGAGGACGGGGAGGGACACTGGAACTGAGAGAGATGGTGGGATGTCAGAGAGCTTCTCTGCTGCTGTGACAGATCCATAATCCCGCTAAAGCAACCTAAATATAGACATATTCTTTGAACCATGTGAAGTAATCCTGGATAATATTGTTTTCATCACTATTCATTCCTCTCCACAAGAAATTAGTCATCTTCAATTTATTTTGCCTTCTATGCCCCTCCTTGGTTAACTTTAAATCTTTATACCTCTGTCCCTTCTCTTCCCTAAGAAGATCCTCATGGGTGGCAGAGAAATGCAACCCTGCCTTGCGAACCAAGGCTGAACAAGAGGAATCAGGAACTTACTTCCCAGTGCCACTCTGATCCTCTGACTGAGCATGGGACCGCGGCTGTTGTCTGCTGCACAGTAGTATCTCCCGGCGTCGTGCTCCTTCACAGAGGAGATTTGCAGCTCTGCGGACAGGGAACGCTGGGTCTTTCTCCCCAGACTTCTTTCTATGCCCTCTCTGTGCCAGGAGAATGTGATAGTCCCTGTCCCTTTGGCAACTGAGCAGATAAGGACCAGATTTCCTCCTGCAACTATCCGCCCTTCACGGGGTTGAGTCTCTAGAGTCACATCAGACACAGGGACTCCTGGGAAGACACAAGATGATACATGAAGGCTTAGGTGGCGGGACTTCAGGGCCAAGGAGGAGCCTGACGCTGCCAACAGCAGCAGGTGCGACTGGCAGGGAAGGCAAGGAATCGGCTGTGAATTTTATTACAGAGGGAGCAGCCCCTCTCCTTCTATAACACAGCAATTTTCCACACAGCCCCCAGAACACAGCAATTCCCACCTTTGGAGAATATAGGCTTATGAATTTCTTTTAAACCTAATGTTGACCAGAGTCGCAGTTTATGAACATTTATGTCTAAAGAATCTCTGATGTGTCAATGGACCACAGAATAAGACAGCCACTGGGAATGTGTTGTATCTCAAAGAGACTTGACTCAGAATCCAAATCCTTTAAGATTCCTCCAGTCTCATCTCTGTGTCCCTACATTCTTTTTTGACTATTTCAGTTAGTGTTTATTTTCCTATTATTTTGGAAAATGTTAGGCCAACAAATGGAAGCACCGTAGGGACCTCCAAAGACTGCCCGTGGTTATCTGTGCTTCTAGTTACTTGCTGACTCATGAAAAAACATGTCTTGTATGTCTCTGTCGCCCCCACAGGGTCGGGCACCCGGTAACCGATCAATATGTGCTATTATCTGACTTGGACGGAGGAGCTTGGTGCTCTAGGGAGGGGAGGCCACTGCTGACCCTAGAGAGGGAAGCCAGGAGAGCTGGAAGCTCCCGTCTGTTATGTCCACTGCCCCACAGGGCAGGAGGTGGCCTTGTGCTGTCCCCCTCTCCCCAGCTCTGAGTTTGAAAATGAAGCCCCCACAGACACTCACTCTGAACTTGTATCTGGGATCTCCGGCTTCTTTTTATGATGTTGTGAGTCATGGTCTCCGCCTGACACCAGTAAGACCATGAATCTTCAGCCCACAAGGCAGGAATCCGGAGCTCTGGGGCGCTGCTCCAGCCTGATCCCAGGACCTGCTTTTCTTTGAAGAAACGAAATTGAAGCTGCGTGTCTGACTTCTGTGGAGAGAGCGAGGTCTCACATTTCAGGGTCACCGGGTTCCCCTCTATGGAGTGGGAAGGGCTGGCTCTCAGAACAGGAGGTGAAAACAGCTCTAGAGAGAAGAACAAACAAGCACAGTTGCCGGGGCAGTGAGGCTCAGAGCTCCTGGAGAGATGCCGCCATGCCCTCAGCACCAGCCATCCGGAGGTAGGGACCCAGACCCGTGCAGCTGGAACCACCGCCCATCTCGCCCCATGGCTGAGTCATCAGAAGCTTTCATGAGGTCCCCCGCGAGGAGCACCCTCCCTCAATCCCCACACACTGTTTCCTCGACGAGCCCTATTACCCACAGGAATAGAGCCGTTACCTTGAACTTGAATCATTAGAGGTTTTGAAATCTCCTGTGTCATGAAAAAAAAAGCTTCCTTAGAAGCTGTACAGTGATATTTGCCATTGTCCCTAGAGACTGAGTTCAGCATGAACTCTGAGCTATAACTATCACTAAGTCTTTTTTTATTTTTGTAGTATATCTTTTCACTGGCTTTCTCTTCTTTTTGTGCCCGGCATCTCAGAACTACATCATCTCCTTCAAAGACAGGGTATGAAGCCTGGAGGATCAGCCAGTCTGCAAAGAGTACAGGACACTGTCAGCTTATCCTCTGATGCCTCTTTTTCAAACTCTCATTTCTCCCTGTGAGGAGAGAACTACAGACTTACAGACACCTGCCAATGCCCTTCACCAGCATTTCCACACGGTCCCAGTACCCAGTTCTCCCTTGTCCTAGGATAGTGAACTACTTCCCAGAAAATGTCCTTAAGAAATCCCTATGCATATCACTAAAAGAGGAATTTTATACTTTCCCTTTCTTTTGACCTGGGTTCCCTTTTGCCTGGTGATTTCTGGGTTACCGACACTTCTCTAGATGGAGAAGACAGACAATGCAGCAATCAGCTTTTGCCCACTGGGATCAACACACTGAATATCCTCATGCCTGTTCATAAGTCTGCCTGGGCTCCCTGCACTGACCTAACCCTCAGGCAGGCTGCCCAGTGGCTTACTTTCAGAGATCCACCCTCCTCTTTCTTTCCTCACCAGATAAAAATTCCACAAGCACAGCGTCACTGAGGGAAGATCCTCGGGTCTTGCAATTGTAGTATCCAGGTGTGTTTATCTGGATCTCTTCAGATTCTCTTTCCAATCGCTTTCTGTCCCAATACCAGGTTATGCCTCCCTGGACTGAAGAATGGGCGTCCTTGCATGTGAGAGTCACTATATCTTCTTTAAAGAATCTGGACCATGGAGGTTGGAGGAGAATAAAAGCTTTTGGAGCTATTCCTAAATAGGACATAGAAAGATGAAGGCAGGTGAAGGAAAATGCGAGGTGGGTAGAAAACCGGAAGGTCCAGTCTGCCCCTGGACATCTTCCTGGGCTAATTCTGACCAGGACCAGGGTTGGAAATGGAACAGCTACAACCCAGGGAAATGCCTGGGACGGAATCTGCTCTTCCTCATCCTTCCCTAGCCTAGAGGTGGGCAGGCAGGTGCCGTCGGGGTTAGGTCTCAGGTTCCTAGTGTGCGTTTGGCAAAGCTCAGATGAGATTTATAGTTGGGCAAACACAGAGGATCTCTGAGGGTGGGATTATTCTGAACAGTTCTTATCTCATACATTCCTGGCAAGGTCAAGGTGAGCTTGGGAGGCATATACCTCAGAAGCAGATTCTAGACTGAAAAAACTCTTCCTATTTGGTTGTCAATGCTTATTGAACACATTTTTTTTTTCACTTTCATTACTTTTCAACCTTGCTTCATTTGAAGTTCTCTGGGTAAGACAACTTTCTTCTAACCTCCCTCTAAGTGGAACACAATTAAGAGATACAAAGACTTTGAATGAAGGGGTGTGGGCTGCTTGAGAAGTCATACTGATGAATACAATTACAACTGACCGAGGTGCCCGGGAATGGGAACACGACTGTCACATGAGCTCCTTTTGGAGATGTGTAAAGATTTGGCTGTAGCATCTTCCTCTGTGAGTGCCAACTATTTCTGTGTTCTCTGATAGTGGCACTAGCTTGGACTTGCATGGAGGTGGGTCTTAGGGACTGGAGGAGATTGCGTATTTCTTTCACCATCAGCGTCCTGACGCTGTCCTTCCCTCTGCGCTGAGGCATCCCAGTAATGGGGCAAGAATCGAAGACTGGAGGAATCGGAGGAGGATCTGCTCACCCACCAGAGCAACAGTTGTGACTTCAAAATAGCAACACCACTACTTGGGGTGGCACATTCCTGCAGCCCTCAGTTTGAGGACAGGCTGTGCTGGATGAGAGGATCAATGCCCAGGTACCAGGAGGAACAGGGAGATGGGAAAACTGACCTGATTGTTCTCTTCCAGGAGCTGTGAGGGAACCAAGATTTAAAGATTAGCACAGGGCACTGTTTTTCCAACACTTTCATCTAGATACTCTCTGAGAAATTTTCTAACAACCCATTTTTTAGTTTCTCCTCCCCATTTCTTTGCCCTCAGTCTATGCCACTCATAGCCCCCAAACAAAACAAAAGAGCTTACAATTTTTTTTTTTGAGAGGGCATCTCTCATATTTATTGATCAAATGGTGTTAACAACAATAAAACTCTGTATGGGGGGGTCAATGCTCAATGCACAATCATTAATCCATCTCAAGCCTAATTCACGTCAATCTCCAATCTTCTGAAGCATAACGAACAAGTTCTTAGATGGTGAACGAATTCTTACATAGTGAATAAGTTCTTACATGGTGAACAGTACAAGGGCAGTCATCACAGAAACTTTCAGTTTTGATCACGCATTATGACCTATAAACAATCAGGTCAAATATGAATATTCGTTTGATTTTTATACTTGATTTATATGTGGATCCCACATTTCTCCCTTTATTATTATTATTATTTTTATTTTTAATAAAATGCTGAAGTGGTAAGTAGATGCAAGATAAAGGTAGAAAACATAGTTTAGTGCTGTAAGAAGGCAAATGTAGATGATCAGATGATCAGGTGTGTGCCTATGGACTAAGTATTAATCCAGGCTAGACAAGGGCAGCAAGACATCCACGGATGCAGAAGATTTCTCTCAAAGCAGGGGGGGTGAGGTTCTGAGCCTCACCTCTGTTGATCCCCAAATTCTCACCTGATGGCCCCCCTGCGACTGTGCCTGTCTTAGGTTGTTCCTCCCTTGAGGAATCTTACCCGTCTCTGGCTAACCAGTCATCTTCCGGGGCCATACAGGGAAATGTAAAGTTGGTAAGTGAGAGAGAAGCCTTATTGTTTGAAAAGGTTAGCTTTTTACTTCTTTGCAGATTTATGCCCTGTGGCTTCCATGCCCAGCACTTGTCTCGAGGTATCCTTACCACCTGGAGGAATTATGATGCTCGGTAAATTCGATATGAGGCATGAATTCCATTTAAGGGTTGTAATTAGGAAGGAATACAATTTATTTTTATAAACAGAAATGACCTGCATCCACAAGCCTGGCTCATCTCTTTCCTAATGCTACTTAACAGCTTCACACTTCATTGCCTCCCTCTCTTCTCTGGCCTGAAATGGGTGACAGACCAAAGGTAACAGACCAGCTCTGATGGGACCCAGAGCCTTTGGTTTTCTTGGGAGCCCAGCCCTACTTACTTTCCGTCTCTTACTCTGTCTCTGAGCCCCAAGTGGAAGTGGATACAGAAGCCCCTGATTCTTCCCCTGGCTGACCTCAAGGAACCGAGACCCATCTACTCACCCAGGAGCAGAAACAGCAGCCACAGAAGCATGGGGGCCTCATCTGCCTTAGGCAGGGCAAGTCTGTCTCCCTAGAAGCCAGGCTTATCTCCCATCCACGAAGGAGGACAGGAGAGTGGCACTCAAATGAGATCTGCAAGACTTAGGAAAGGGGAAGTAAAAAAACGTTATCATGGCTTCTGAAGACATGAATGCGGTTACCTTGCTTAACGCTGTTTGCATGTTCGGCTTGGTTGCTGTGCCTTTTCAGATGTTGGTGGTCATCCCCTGGGAGTTCAAGGCTCCCAGGAGAACTGTCTCCCAGGCTGTGCCTGGCTTTTCTGAAAAGGCCATGCTGTGGATTTTCCAGTACTCAAATCATGTTTCTCTTCATTTTTCAAATGGGAAATCCCTTGGTTTCACGTGAGGCTTCTCGTACAGATGTGCCTAGTAAGTGTGGTGTCCTGACGTGTTTCATGGTGTGAGTCACACACAAAGGGCCAAAGCCAGTAGGAAAGACTTTTTCCCCTTTGCATAAGTGGGCATGAAGCTGCTGAAGAAGAAAATAATAGAAATTTGCAGACTAACAAAGGGGCTGCCCCTTGGTCCTACCAGACATGTGCAAATGCATAAGCATGAACTATTGTGTGCCAGTCTCGGCCTCTCAATAACCAGCACTGTGACTGCAACACCGCCGCGTTCATTACTATAAAGGCAAGAGACCCTCAGCAATAAACGCCTGGAAACTTTGGGAAAAGTAAAACGTTCGCTACTCACAGGTCCTGGAAAACACACAGCCCACGTGGGGCCACACTGTGAGGTGGTGGGCCAGGGGCTTGGCTTTCACTGGAGTCAGTGGTGGGGACCTAAGCTTTCATGGGCTCATTTTTTTATTATTGAATTTGAAACAAGAGCAAGAATTTAAAGCACAGGAAGAAGAAGAAGAAGAAAAAAAAAAACCCAGCTCAAATGGTCAGTTATGGAAATCAACCAAGATCTCTAAGCCGAAGGTGCTGGGGAGGGAGGCGCATGATGGGTCTTTACATAGCGGCTGCAGTGTTTGTTCTAGAAAGTCGTCTTTTGAAGTGGATGCCTCTGCAGCCATGAAAGCTACTTAGTCAGGCACTGGCACTACAAAAAGAATCCAACGGCAGGGTTTATAAACTACAGAACCCCTGGTTTTAAAGCCAGGCCTCTTCTCCCAGAGGGCTTCTAGGCCTTGGAGTTGAAGAGATCTCACCTGATTGTGTCCCGTTTCACACCCTGGAGGGCTTTTTTTTTTTTTTTCAGCATTTATCATCATTTGTCTATTTCCCTCCCCAGATCTGGAAGATTTTTATCTATTATTTCTTTGAATTACCTTTCTGGTTCTCTCTCTCTCTCTCCTGGGACTCTTGTGAATTTTTTAGGTCTATTACTGCATTCTTCAACTCCGTGATTTCTGTTTGGTTCTTTTTCATGGTTTCTATGTTTGTTGTACTTCTTACCTGTGGTGCATTGCTCTCTGGACCCCAGTGAGCATGTTTATGAGAATTATTGTTGATTCTATGTCAGATAACTCATGGAACTCCGTTACATTAGGACTGGTTCCTGGAAATGTATCTTGCTACATCTCTGCCTGGTTCTTCATTTTCCTTGGCTCTCTGTGTCAGCGTATGATCATTAGACAGAGCGGCCACCTTTCCAAGTCTTCACAGACTAGCCCCATACAGAAGATGCCCCCTGCCAATCAGCCCATCCAGAGACTCTGGGGTCCCTACAATTCTTCCCCTCCTCAAGGAGAAAGAGTTAGCTGTGATTTTTGTCCATGCACTTAGTGCATTAGTGCTTAGCTGGGGTGGGGAGTAGCTATGGTGCCCATCAGCCCACAAAGCACCTCTGTTTTCCTTAGGCAGCTAGTGTGCGCAGACTCACCAGAGCTTTGAGACTGCTGAAACAGACGCTAGTTCTTTGAGCAGCCTCAGAGAAGATGGGGTGCTAGATCCATGGATCAACTCTTTCCCTCCCCAGAGGAGGCTGAAAACTAGGATTTTTTTTTGGTCTTCTAACTCTGTACTGAGCAAGGGGAGGAGCAATGGCATCTGCCAGCTCAATGCACTGACCCACCACACTTCCCTGGGTGGCTAAAGGATACTGGACCTGCCGGAGCTCCAAAATGGGAAAAGAAGAAGCCAGTGCTCTGGGAAGCTGCCTCGGAGTCCTTGGGGCTCTAGATGCAGGAACCAAGCCCTCCCTTCTGCTGGGTGATGCTGGCTGCTAGGAAGTCATTTCCCGATCTTGTGGTGCTGCACCAGAAGCAGGGTCTCTAGTGAAAGCTTGTCCCAAATCTCCCTTCGGGCTTTGGTGGGTCTCATTGCACTTTCTCATGGGACGTAGGAGCCTTTCATTAGCTTCCGATTTCTCGTGAAAGGAATTTTTCTGTGAGTTGTTGCTGAATTGGTGTGTTTGTGGGAAGAAGGAGGGTCTAGGGCTTCCTACTCCACCATCTCGCTGATATCCCAAAATTCCCCTGCGTTTTCAATGCTCAGCAGAGCGCCATCCTATACTAATTCACCAGTAACTACTTGCTGAATGAGTGAGAGATCAGTAAACAACAGCATAGAATGATAATAGAAGATCAGATGTGTTTAAGGTATTTCCTTAGTCACTTCTGGTTAATGATTTCTGCAGTAGAGATGAGATGTTTCTTATAGCTATTTACCTAAATTAAATTAAATTGTTGGTTAAAATGGTACTCAATCCATTGTGTAGTATGGGGTTATGACAAACTAATAATTATAGAGCATGGTTGCCACTTCTGAGAGGTCTTCTTTGACCTTGCAAATCTGGGCTAAGCATCCCTCTGTGTGCTTCAACAATGCTTTAATAGAAACCAAGGTTCATCCCGTGCAGCCTGATTTCCTGGTCCTTTGGTCATATTTCTCAGTAGTGTATCTTCAGGGAAGGAAATGGCTCCTGCTCACTTTTGATTTCTCTGTTTCCAGCACAGCTGTCAACAAAAGGAAAGATCAAGATCAATTGAGAGGTAGTGCATGTTAAGTCAGATTAATTCTACAACATGAAAAAATACACTTGATTTCATGGTCAAAAGTAAAGATGTTCATGGTTCCTGCTAACATTTGTTTCCTGTGGTTGGAAAGAGATAGTCAGAAAAGCAGTCTTTTGAATACTACTGCCTCTCTGGTACCCAAAAGATTTTTTTTTTTAATCTTCCCCTCTGTAAAGCAGGAAATAAATAATTTTTACTGTAACTATGCCCTGTGCAATATCTGGGATATACTTGCACCAAAAGAGGAGTCATTGTTTATTTGAAATTCAAATGTAATTATGTAAGTCCTGAATTTTTATTTGCTAAATTCATCACATCTAACTGAACAGCATCACATTTAATTTGCATGAATAAATGACGAAGGGATTGTGTTGGGGGACATTTATTTTTCTTCCAGGTGTATGCAACTCCTCTGCTACCTAACACACCCCACCCCAGAAGACATGAAATGATGTAAGGAATTGGTACATTTGGGGGAATAATAAGTGAGGCATGCTGAACCCCATCTCATACTTTTCATCTTGGATGTAAGTCAGCTAGTGGAGAGACCTATATACAGACATAGACATTCCTCTGTACTGGCGGGATTCTAGAATTTTAAGAGCAAATTCTCAGGGAAACAAATAAGGGCTATGGGCTTAAATATAACAAAAATTAAAACAAGGGAACAAACATTTGGGAGCCATGTATTGCCTTGGGCTTTAATGAGAGAGCAGAGCATTTTGTTGATTGAAGAGGCTCATACTGGGCGACATTTTAACTTTACTGAGCTTAAGCAAGATGCTTGCAGCCGTAAGGCTGATGGTTTATCCACAAACAGTAGGTACGTGGATGACCATGAGGGCTGCCCAGCAACAGAGCTTTGGGAGCCACAAGGGTGGCTCAACAAAGGCCCAGGGTAACTTGAACGGCTTTTCTAGAAAGGCAGTCATAGCTGAAGCAGATAGTCTTTTTTAGTGAAAGTAGAAACATGAAAATCAAAATAACTTAAGCCCTTTAGTGAAAGTAGAAACATGAAAACAAAAATAACTTAAGCAACCACGCTCTATAAATCAAATTATCTTCTGTCAGTTAAGAGTCTGTAGAAATTACTGTAACCCTTTGCCCTTGAATTCTTATTCTGCTCAATCTCAGCTAAGTGGAGGTTCTCAAATTCTGGGTAGAGCTGAGATTGCTTTTGTTAGGCACTAGTGACTTGAATATTTGTTAGCTGTAAGGTTCCTCGTGTGCAACAAAACACCAATAAGGATCTAACTTCAAATTGCTAGTGTCAGCCCTAGAAAGGCTCTCTTATCAGTTACCTTAAATGCCACTTGGCTTTAGGGCCCAAGGAGCAAACAACAGGGGTCACTCTTGAATTCATGGTATTCCCTAGCCTCAAGAATGGAAAATATTTGAAGAATTACTGGGTAAGTTTCAAGACTGTATGGTTATTGTAAATGGGCATGCAGATATTGCCTGTGTCCTGTGGGACTGTGCCTGATAACATTTATGCAATTTGAAAGGGGAAGATCAGGTCCTTGGGGTACACACTGGGAAAGGATTGCTTTGCACTGGGCCCTTTGAGGAACAATCTTCAGAAACATAGAAGTTTCATTTCCAGAATCTGTTGAGATGTGTTTTCCAACTGAAATAAATGCAGGAGCAATGAGAGAATGGCTCCCAGGTCTCAGGTTTCGTAAGCCACTCAGTTCTACCAAGTTGTCAGAAGCACTTTACTCAAAGAGGAAGTGAGAACTAGGGGGCTCTGAATGAATTTAATGGGGAAGAAAGTCACAAAATATGTTGTGCCCACCCACCCCCAAAATAGTAAATGCTTAGTGTCAACATTAACCTTGCGCTGGTTGGTTTCTCACAATTAAGTTTAAGTCCAGAGAGTCTGGTTTAACTGGCATCAACTGGCACCAACAGCCTGGCATCCGACTGAAGCTAAACAAAGAATTTCTTTATCTACTCTCCTTCCTTATGTGAGTGGATCTCTGTTATCTGTTTGAAGACATTAGATACGGGTTCAAGGAGCATAAGCCTCCTTGGTATAATGTTCTAGGGTTGAGGATTAGCTTTTTAAAATCCAGGGGGTATGAGACTTGTGCTGTTAATTTTTTATGCCCTATTAATTCTTTGAACTCATTAAAATTGTGGCTTATGAGAGTCTTTGCATTGAACCAATACAACCTCCAAGGTTCTGAAACAAATTATTCAATTCTACTGTGAGATGGCCCAGACAGTAATTACTCAAACAATCTCAGCTCCACGCAGAATTTGAGAACCTCCTGTTAGCTGAGATTGAGCAAAATAAGAAATCAGGGGCAAGGGATTACTTTCATTTCTTTAGACTCTTAACTCATCAAAGACGATTTAAGAGTTTATTTTGATTTTAATGTGCCTAGAATCTTTCTTACAAGGGTATTTAAT